GATGCTATTTTAGGGAGCGGGCTGGATGGGCGTTGCGTGCGAGGGATGGTCACTGAACGCTTTGCTGTGGAGTGTACTTGGTAGAAAAAAATGGGTATCTTTCGAAATTTTTAAAGTGGTATGATTTGGGTGTGATATTCATGTACGGATTTTTATTAACTTATATGTGAGAAATTGTTCACTTGATTGTTATTTTATGTACATCAAGCAAGTTCCAAGATATTACACAATCGCCACCAAACAGAAATGTAAGACAGTAAAGACAAAGCTCCGCCCACCCACCCACCCCTTCCTCCCCCCCACCCTGCAGGACGCGACGAGGAAGCCCGGAAGGTCATCCGACAGCTCCGCGGCGAACACATCAACGTGAACGAGGAGATCCAGAACTACCGGGCGATGAACGAGGGGCGGGAAGGGCGGTCCATGTGGCGAGGACTCGTGCAGCCGCGCGTCCTCAAGAACCTGGGGATCGTGTCCATGCTCTTCGTCATCGTCTTCTTCTCAGGTCGGCCGCTGTGGGCTTCGGGCTTGGCTTCGTGGTTCTTTTCTTTTTCTTTGTAGAGGCTCATGTTCGAATGAATACATTGGTACGTATATGCGAGCGCGCACGGACACATACACACGCACGCACGTAAGTACGCATGTACTGTACGTATGCTCGCGTTGGCACACACACACGCACTTCATTTTATCTTTGATATATGCAATTTATCAGTTATTTAGAAATGGAATTTCACTTTATTTCTTCTAATTATATATCCAATCATAAGTATTTCTTTAGATTTGATTATATTTTATCCTACCGGACTTGGACACCTAAAAATGGTGGAAGATGATTTTTCATGCTATAAAAGTCACCTTATATTGACACGGTATGATAATCTTCTATAGATAGTTTCCTAGTTTGTTTGTTTTTTAGATGAATTAGCCGAATTTCTGAGCTGATTGTATTTTTTAAACATCAAAAGTACAAGACGTATGTCAGTATATCAGAATATTTAAAGAATAAAATCAGAGACAGCAGATTCTGTAAATTCATAACATCAGTTCTCATATTTTCCTCGTCTGACGTCGTATTTCAGGATATTACGTATTTTTTTCAAATCTGTCAGTTGCTGTATTCTTACTTACGAATGTCAGCCAAAGAAGAAGAAAATATGGTTACTTGCAGGGCAATTCGGTGCAAATAACGATGGTCTGTATTATTATTTATTTTTCTTATGGCTAATTTACCCATACGCCAAACAAGACTATAACACTACTTACATCTCTATCGTTTTCCTTTTACTTACAAACTTTGGAAACGTAAAATGTCTGTAATATCTATTTTTACTCCACTGAACAGGTTTCTTCATCGTCAACGCCAATGCTTCGAGAATGTTCAAAGCCGCGGGTTCTACCATCGACGCGAATTTAGCGGCCATTATCATCAACATCGTGCAGGTAAAGAATCTACATGTATCTTCTTGTGATTGGGAGAAAAAAGACGAATATACGTATTTCTAATTGAAGAAAAAAAAAATCGCTATTTCCAAACCTGAGAAACATAATTAAAAATGATCTCATTTAATACCAAAACTAATGCATGTATCCCTTATTAAACAGTAGGTTAAACTGACATATTTTCTCTCCTTGCAGCTAATAGGCGGGTTCATTGGGTTCTTATTTGCGGACAAACTGGGTAGGAAAGGGCTGTTATACACAGGCCTATCGCTCATGTTCATATCCCTGACTGGCCTGGCGACGTATGTTGGTCTCACAGAGTCTGACAGTGGCGACGGGTACGTACATAACATTAATTTTGAAGTATAATGACAATGATATATGAAAAACAAGATATTTTAAATTCGTATCCGTCTTATTAACTGATACTCAGAAATAAAAGCGATAAAAAACTGTTATATGCAATATAAAGTCGACACCAGAGCCACAGAATAATGCGTCAGCTTAAAAACAAAACAAAACAACGCCATCTGTCCCCAGCTTTTCCGAGAAGCAGACAGACGACCTGCTGGGAAACGCGACCGCCACGCTATCTACCTCTGCCTTCCCCAATGAACAGACAGACGACCTGATTGACAGCTCAGTCGTCCCCAAACACGGATGGATTCCTCTTGCGTGCCTCATCGTATGTCAGTTCGGGGCTGCGTTCGGCGTCAATGCGATCCCCTTCATCCTCAGCACAGAGTACTTTCCTACGTGGATCAGGGCGCAGGTAAAGTGCACCACCATTGTTTTTTTTATAATTGTTCTGTCTTATTTGATGTGTTTGTTCTATTTTACTTATTATGTTTGTTGTTTTATTTTGAATGGTTGTTCTATCTTATTTACTATGTTTGATCTGTCTTCTTTACTTTATTTAAGTTATCGAGTATTATGTTTGATTTTGTGTTTGAATCACTGAGCAATGTGTTTGACTTACTGCATTGAATTAACTGTGTTGTGTTTGATTTTGTCTATTTAATTTACTGAGTATTGAAAGTAATTATTTTTTGTGTCA